GCTTCTCATCCTCGTCCGCGTAGCGCTCGGCCTCGTTCACCATGCGGTCGATCTCTGCCTGCGAGAGGCGGCCCTTGTCGTTCTTGATGGTAATGTTCTTGGCCTTGCCGGTGCTCATCTCCTTGGCCGTCACGTTCAGGATACCATTGGCGTCCATGTCGAAGGTGACCTCGATCTGGGGCACGCCGCGCGGTGCCGGCGGTATGCCAGACAAATCGAACGTGCCCAGCGAATTGTTGTGCTGCGTGAGGGCGCGCTCGCCCTCGTACACCTGAATGGAGACGCCCGGCTGGTTGTCAGAGTACGTTGAGAAGGTCTTCGTCTGCTTGCACGGGATTCGGGAGTTTCGTTCAATCAGCTTGGTCATGACGCCGCCGGCAGTCTCGATGCCCAATGAAAGGGGCGCAACGTCCACCAGGAGCACGTCCTGGATCTTGCCGCTCTGGTCGCCGCTAAGTATGGCTGCTTGGACTGCGGCGCCATAGGCCACCGCCTCGTCGGGATTGATGGAAAGGTTGAGGCTCTTGCCGCCGAAGAACTGCTGAAGCAGGCTCTGCACCTTGGGAATGCGTGTCGAGCCACCGACGAGCACAATATCGTGGATCTGCTGCTTGTCCATCTTGGCATCGTTGAGCGCCTTCTCCACTGGCGCCAGTGTGTTGCGGAACAGATCGGCGCACAGCTCCTCGAACCGGGCACGGCTCACCTTCGTGTAGAAGTCGTGGCCCTCGAACAGCGCGTCCACCTCAATGGTAGCCTCTGTGCTCGACGAGAGCGTGCGCTTGGCTCGCTCCGCCGCAGTGCGCAGGCGGCGCAGGGCGCGAGGATTGGAGCGCAGATCCTTCTTGTACTTGCGCTTGAACTCCTCCGCCAGATGGGTTACCAGTCTGTTGTCAAAGTCCTCGCCGCCCAAATGTGTGTCTCCAGCCGTTGACCGCACCTCGAACAGTGAGCCCTCGTCGATGGTTAGAATGGAGACATCAAAGGTGCCGCCGCCCAGATCGAAGATGAGCACATTGCGTTCGCCCTTCAGATTCTTGTCCAGGCCATAGGCCAGTGCCGCCGCCGTCGGCTCGTTGATGATCCTCAGCACGTTCAGGCCGGCTATGTGGCCGGCATCTTTGGTAGCCTGGCGCTGCGAGTCGTTGAAATAGGCGGGCACTGTGATGACCGCGTCCGTGATGCTCTGGCCCAGGTACGCCTCCGCCGTCTCCTTCATCTTCACCAGCACCATCGAGCTGATCTCCTCGGGCGCAAAACGCTTCTGCTCCCCCTTGAACTCGACGCCAATCTTGGGCTTGCCTCCGTCGCTGACCACCTTGAAGGGCCAGTGCTTGATGTCCTCCGCTATCTTGGGATCATCGTACCTGCGTCCAATTAGACGCTTCGCATCGAATACTGTGTTCTTGGGGTTCATCGCCACCTGGTTCTTGGCCGCGTCGCCAATGAGGCGCTCCGAATCTGTGAAAGCCACATAGCTGGGCGTCGTCCTATTGCCCTGGTCATTGGCAATTATCTCCACCTTGCCATGCTGATAGACACCCACGCACGAATACGTGGTGCCCAAATCAATACCAATGGCTGGCATTCTGTGTGTTCTCTGATTCTTCGCTCGAGACGAATCGCTTCTATTTGTTGTTGTTGTTGTTGTGGAAATCTCTTGCTGTTGCTCCTTCTTAATTTGTTTTCACTTGGATTTTATTTAAACTGTAGTTGAAAATCGTTAAAACTCTTTAGTTTGTATTTTTAGCTTGTTCAGCTAGTCGCTTGTTTTGGTTTGTGATGCTATCACGTCGCTTGCTTGAATTCAATTGTGGCGAAGAGAAAATTTCAGCCCTATTTATACCCCGGCGCTCTCTTTTCGAAATTTCTCGACGCTCTCTTCTCGAAACGCGTCGAACGACGCGTACATTCGATGCGTTTGCTTATGAGCGAGAGGGAGACGGAACAGCTTGTACCACGAATATGTTTCGATTTTTCTAGTAGGTTGGGTTTGTTATTGTTTTGAAGAAAGAGCGAGAGGGACTAAGGGTAACGGTTGTGTGTGTTTGACTTGACCTACAGCAACAATTGGTATTTACCTTTTTTCGATTCTAGAAAATTCACACGAACTTAGAGATTGTTGGCAAAATAAATAGTTTTGTTATACTTAACGATTTGCTATTAATAAATGTATTTTATTTATATGCGAATGCTGACTTGATTGCCTATTTTTGGAACCCAATATAAATACATACATACAATGTATGTGTGAATTGAAAAACTCGTTCTATGCACGTGAATGCTAATCTAGTTGTCATTTATAGATTGTTGCTGCTTTAACGAACTGCAAATAATAAAAAAATACACTATAGCAAATAAACCAAAATGAGCTCTCTTCTTTTTGCTATGTCATCTCTGTATTTACATCTCTACATAGAAAACATGTTCTGATTGAATGATCAGGGATTAGCGTGCAGCACGCGAGGGCTAGGAAGCTAACATTTTCACTCTAGCTAGATGGGGTTTTCGGGATTTCCACCCACAAGGGGTAAACTTAGCGATACGGTTGTGAGAAGCTCCTTGTTTATCATCAAACTTCTTATTTTTCATCAAGTGTTTAAACTATTATGGAAGTACACACTTGGGGAATAGATGAAAAACTTTGATTTCAAAATATTAAATATTTATATTATTTATTATTTATATGTGAATAGAATGTGTGGATTTAATTAGTTCTACCGAAGATTTAATACCCTTGTAGACATTTGCCTTACGGTTTTGCAGATATTTAAAAGGACAAGCTCGTAAATGCTGAGTTTGATGAAAATATCTTGAAAAACAGAATATTATCCATACCAATTTTGACCGATTCTTCCCATAAAGCTATACAATATAGTAGTGCGATCTTGATAATATTTGGCACATATATAAGCAGCATAGTCAAAAAGTAAATGCCGGGGCTCGTCAAGATATATTGATAAACCAAATAGTTTTTCTCATAAAAGCCTTCTTTTCGATTGATAGTTCCTATGGCAGCTGTATAATATATTTTTACTTAATTATTTTTTAATGTTCGACAAAATAAAAGGTTCTTCCTAATTATCCAATATATTATGAAAATTAAATGCTAAAATCCTAATGAGAATACACAACTTTCTATCCCCGATTTCACAGCTTATTTTGTCAGTGACGCTTTTAGAGCCTACAGCTGAGAAGAAGGGTGTTAGTAGGGAATAGTGTTTTTAAGTAAAAATTAAAAAGAAAATACAATAAATTGGCAAAAAGAAAGAAAGACAGAAGTTGTTAATAAAGTAAAGAAATTTATACTAGACTAGCGGGTATAGCCCGGCCTTTCCCGTGGCACGTATGTTATAAAATCAATGTTTTCAAAAAGCTTTGAAAATGATTTTGAAACTGATCGGACGGGAATCAAACAAACTTAAAATTCACCAAAAAAATCTTTGAAATGCATTTTCCACCGAAGGAGTTTAGATTTTGCGAAATCATCCACCAAATCTTCGACCCCCATTTGCACCAAGGAGGGATGGATTTTTCAAAAAGTGTGAAACACCCCTCAAATGAATTTGAACATAGATCTTTGAAAATAAGTTTGGGGCCGATCGGATCGTAAACAAAAAACTTTCATACAACCGTGTTCCGCCAATTTACCACTGTTGCGGGTGGAATTTCCCAATTCGATGAAATACGTATTCATTAAGTTCTTATGGAGAGCTTTGAAAATAAGCTTAAAGCAAATCGGACACAACTTAAAACTTCGCACAAAAAATCTTTGAGTAGCATTCCACCCGAAAAAGTTTGGATTCTGCGAAAAGTGTGAAACACGTCTCAAATGATTTTTCTTATAGATCTTTGAAAACGAATTTGAGCGCGAAACGTCACCCTCCAAAACGTCGGAAACGTCTTTGACCTCGATTTCCACCAAGGAGGAACGGATTTTTCGAAAAGTGTGAAACACCCCTCAAATGAATTTGAACAAAGATCTTTGAAAACAAGTTTGAGGCCGATCGGATCGCTAACAAAAATTTTTGACCCCCATTTCCACCAAGGAGGGATGTATTTGCCAAAAAGTGCGAAACACCCCTCAAATGAATTTAAACAAAGACCTTTGAAAATAAATTTGAGGCCGATCGGATGGTAAACAAAAAAGTTACATACAAACGTTTTTCGCGATTTTTCCACACTTGCGGGTGGAATTTCCCGAAACCCCGTCTTAACGTGCACCTACATCACATAAGGTAGCTACAGTGAAAATTTCAGCTTCCTAGCTCTTACGGTTTGGGCTGTGCGTTGATCACCAATCAGTCAGTCAGTCAGTCAGTCAGCCAGTCAGGACAAACAGTTTTATATATAGAGATATAGAGTGTTAAGTAGAAAGGATGAAGAGATAGTGATATAAAATTAACGACCCGGTGGGGGAAATATATAACCTGTATCGCAAACTATGCCCCTACTCACAGCTCATACATATATAGTAGTCCGATAGCTATAGTGGTCCGATGTCAATAAGATTTTGTATATATATCACACGACTATAGGGAGCCTTGTGAAACTTATAGACGGGCCTATGCAGTGTTACAAGACAGACGGACAGACGGACTCGGATGCTGATCAAGAATATATATACTTAATGGGGCTGGAGATATCTCCTTCTATGCGCGACACATTTCATGAATGTTCATATGGTGCATTCTATATGTATATATTATTTGCCGATTTAGCCTCATTCCAGACAGGTGTGTTTTTCTATACCTTAAACAAATGGAAAATGGTTACAATGCTTTTTTAGATATGTATCTAATAGGGATATGGATCTTCTCTGACCCCATAAAGTAAGCTTGATCAGGACGACCCGTGGAGTCGACCTTGCCTTGGCTGAATAAGAGCGTCGATATTGGACACTATAAAATTTAGAGACTTGACCGTACGCATAATAATAAACCTCCCCACAAATTATATAGCGAGCCCTTTCCAGCGAAGACAATTCAAAGACAATTGAGTTTCTTTTTAAAATAATAAATTAATGGTTTATTCTATAATTTGTTGCTAACTTAGGAATAGTTTAACAATTAGCTCTCTTAACTAGTGAGTGTTTGGCATAAAATTAATGGCTATATCTCAACCAAAAATCTTAATCAGTCCGAGGAACATAAAGTTAAAACTAAATACTAGAAGTATGGGGGAATGCATTTAGTCGACTTCCTCCACGGTGGGTCCTTGGTAGCCACCGGCACCACCGAAGCCGCCCGCCTGCTGACCACAGTTGGCGTTGCCCTGCGGCTGTCCCTGCTGGTGCAGCTTGGTCATAATGGGGGAGCAGTGCTGAGTGAGCTCCTTCAGTTTGTACTCGAACTCCTCCTTGTCGGCTGTGGTGTTGGCGTCGAGCCACTTGACGGTCTCGCTGCACTTCTCCAGCACGGAGGACTTGTCGCTGTCGCTCAGCTTGTCGGGACTGGCCTGCTCCACGGCCTGCTTGACGCCGAAGACGTAGCTCTCGAGGCTGTTGCGAGCCGTGATGCGCTCCCGGTGCTTCTCATCCTCGTCCGCGTAGCGCTCGGCCTCGTTCACCATGCGGTCGATCTCTGCCTGCGACAGGCGGCCCTTGTCGTTCTTGATGGTAATGTTCTTGGCCTTGCCGGTGCTCATCTCCTTGGCCGTCACGTTCAGGATACCATTGGCGTCCATGTCGAAGGTGACCTCGATCTGGGGCACGCCACGCGGTGCCGGCGGTATGCCAGACAAATCGAACGTGCCCAGCGAATTGTTGTGCTGCGTGAGGGCGCGCTCGCCCTCGTACACCTGAATGGAGACGCCCGGCTGGTTGTCAGAGTACGTTGAGAAGGTCTTCGTCTGCTTGCACGGGATTCGGGAGTTTCGTTCAATCAGCTTGGTCATGACGCCGCCGGCAGTCTCGATGCCCAATGAAAGGGGCGCAACGTCCACCAGGAGCACGTCCTGGATCTTGCCGCTCTGGTCGCCGCTAAGTATGGCTGCTTGGACTGCGGCGCCATAGGCCACCGCCTCGTCGGGATTGATGGAAAGGTTGAGGCTCTTGCCGCCGAAGAACTGCTGAAGCAGGCTCTGCACCTTGGGAATGCGTGTCGAGCCACCGACGAGCACAATATCGTGGATCTGCTGCTTGTCCATCTTGGCATCGTTGAGCGCCTTCTCCACTGGCGCCAGTGTGTTGCGGAACAGATCGGCGCACAGCTCCTCGAACCGGGCACGGCTCACCTTCGTGTAGAAGTCGTGGCCCTCGAACAGCGCGTCCACCTCAATGGTAGCCTCTGTGCTCGACGAGAGCGTGCGCTTGGCTCGCTCCGCCGCAGTGCGCAGGCGGCGCAGGGCGCGAGGATTGGAGCGCAGATCCTTCTTGTACTTGCGCTTGAACTCCTCCGCCAGATGGGTTACCAGTCTGTTGTCAAAGTCCTCGCCGCCCAAATGTGTGTCTCCAGCCGTTGACCGCACCTCGAACAGTGAGCCCTCGTCGATGGTTAGAATGGAGACATCAAAGGTGCCGCCGCCCAGATCGAAGATGAGCACATTGCGTTCGCCCTTCAGATTCTTGTCCAGGCCATAGGCCAGTGCCGCCGCCGTCGGCTCGTTGATGATCCTCAGCACGTTCAGGCCGGCTATGTGGCCGGCATCTTTGGTAGCCTGGCGCTGCGAGTCGTTGAAATAGGCGGGCACTGTGATGACCGCGTCCGTGATGCTCTGGCCCAGGTACGCCTCCGCCGTCTCCTTCATCTTCACCAGCACCATCGAGCTGATCTCCTCGGGCGCAAAACGCTTCTGCTCCCCCTTGAACTCGACGCCAATCTTGGGCTTGCCTCCGTCGCTGACCACCTTGAAGGGCCAGTGCTTGATGTCCTCCGCTATCTTGGGATCATCGTACCTGCGTCCAATTAGACGCTTCGCATCGAATACTGTGTTCTTGGGGTTCATCGCCACCTGGTTCTTGGCCGCGTCGCCAATGAGGCGCTCCGAATCTGTGAAAGCCACATAGCTGGGCGTCGTCCTATTGCCCTGGTCATTGGCAATTATCTCCACCTTGCCATGCTGATAGACACCCACGCACGAGTACGTGGTGCCCAAATCAATACCAATGGCTGGCATTCTGTGTGTTCTCTGATTCTTCGCTCGAGATGAATCGCTTTTATTTGTTGTTGTTGTGGAAATCTCTTTCTTAATTTGTTTAAACTTTACTTTTCACTTGGATTTTATTTAAACTGTTGTTGAAAATCGTTAAAACTCTTTAGTTTGTATTTTTAGCTTGTTCAGCTAGTCGCTTGTTTTGGTTTGTGATGTTATCACGTCGCTTGCTTGAATTCAATTGTGGCGAAGAGAAAATTTCAGCCGTATTTATACCCCGGCGCTCTCTTTTCGAAATTTCTCGACGCTCTCTTCTCGAAACGCGTCGAACGACGCGTACATTCGATGCGCTTGCTTATGAGCGAGAGGGAGACGGAACAGCTTGTACCACGAATATGTTTCGATTTTTCTAGTAGGTTGGGTTTGTTATTGTTTTGAAGAAAGAGCGAGAGGGACTAAGGGTAACGGTTGTGTGTGTTTGACTTGACCTACAGCAACAATTGGTATTTACCTTTTTTCGATTCTAGAAAATTCACACGAACTTAGAGATTGTTGGCAAAATAAATAGTTTTGTTATACTTAACGATTTGCTATTAATAAATGTATTTTATTTATATGCGAATGCTGACTTGATTGCCTATTTTTGGAACCCAATATAAATACATACATACAATGTATGTGTGAATTGAAAAACTCGTTCTATGCACGTGAATGCTAATCTAGTTGTCATTTATAGATTGTTGCTGCTTTAACGAACTGCAAATAATAAAAAAATACACTATAGCAAATAAACCAAAATGAGCTCTCTTCTTTTTGCTATGTCATCTCTGTATTTACATCTCTACATAGAAAACATGTTCTGATTGAATGATCAGGGATTAGCGTGCAGCACGCGAGGGCTAGGAAGCTAACATTTTCACTCTAGCTAGATGGGGTTTTCGGGATTTCCACCCACAAGGGGTAAACTTAGCGATACGGTTGTGAGAAGCTCCTTGTTTATCATCAAACTTCTTATTTTTCATCAAGTGTTTAAACTATTATGGAAGTACACACTTGGGGAATAGATGAAAAACTTTGATTTCAAAATATTAAATATTTATATTATTTATTATTTATATGTGAATAGAATGTGTGGATTTAATTAGTTCTACCGAAGATTTAATACCCTTGTAGACATTTGCCTTACGGTTTTGCAGATATTTAAAAGGACAAGCTCGTAAATGCTGAGTTTGATGAAAATATCTTGAAAAACAGAATATTATCCATACCAATTTTGACCGATTCTTCCCATAAAGCTATACAATATAGTAGTGCGATCTTGATAATATTTGGCACATATATAAGCAGCATAGTCAAAAAGTAAATGCCGGGGCTCGTCAAGATATATTGATAAACCAAATAGTTTTTCTCATAAAAGCCTTCTTTTCGATTGATAGTTCCTATGGCAGCTGTATAATATATTTTTATTTAATTATTTTTTAATGTTCGACAAAATAAAAGGTTCTTCCTAATTATCCAATATATTATGAAAATTAAATGCTAAAATCCTAATGAGAATACACAACTTTCTATCCCCGATTTCACAGCTTATTTTGTCAGTGACGCTTTTAGAGCCTACAGCTGAGAAGAAGGGTGTTAGTAGGGAATAGTGTTTTTAAGTAAAAATTAAAAAGAAAATACAATAAATTGGCAAAAAGAAAGAAAGACAGAAGTTGTTAATAAAGTAAAGAAATTTATACTAGACTAGCGGGTATAGCCCGGCCTTTCCCGTGGCACGTATGTTATAAAATCAATGTTTTCAAAAAGCTTTGAAAATGATTTTGAAACTGATCGGACGGGAATCAAACAAACTTAAAATTCACCAAAAAAATCTTTGAAATGCATTTTCCACCGAAGGAGTTTAGATTTTGCGAAATCATCCACCAAATCTTCGACCCCCATTTGCACCAAGGAGGGATGGATTTTTCAAAAAGTGTGAAACACCCCTCAAATGAATTTGAACATAGATCTTTGAAAATAAGTTTGGGGCCGATCGGATCGTAAACAAAAAACTTTCATACAACCGTGTTCCGCCAATTTACCACTGTTGCGGGTGGAATTTCCCAATTCGATGAAATACGTATTCATTAAGTTCTTATGGAGAGCTTTGAAAATAAGCTTAAAGCAAATCGGACACAACTTAAAACTTCGCACAAAAAATCTTTGAGTAGCATTCCACCCGAAAAAGTTTGGATTCTGCGAAAAGTGTGAAACACGTCTCAAATGATTTTTCTTATAGATCTTTGAAAACGAATTTGAGCGCGAAACGTCACCCTCCAAAACGTCGGAAACGTCTTTGACCTCGATTTCCACCAAGGAGGAACGGATTTTTCGAAAAGTGTGAAACACCCCTCAAATGAATTTGAACAAAGATCTTTGAAAACAAGTTTGAGGCCGATCGGATCGCTAACAAAAATTTTTGACCCCCATTTCCACCAAGGAGGGATGTATTTGCCAAAAAGTGCGAAACACCCCTCAAATGAATTTAAACAAAGACCTTTGAAAATAAATTTGAGGCCGATCGGATGGTAAACAAAAAAGTTACATACAAACGTTTTTCGCGATTTTTCCACACTTGCGGGTGGAATTTCCCGAAACCCCGTCTTAACGTGCACCTACATCACATAAGGTAGCTACAGTGAAAATTTCAGCTTCCTAGCTCTTACGGTTTGGGCTGTGCGTTGATCACCAATCAGTCAGTCAGTCAGTCAGTCAGCCAGTCAGGACAAACAGTTTTATATATAGAGATATAGAGTGTTAAGTAGAAAGGATGAAGAGATAGTGATATAAAATTAACGACCCGGTGGGGGAAATATATAACCTGTATCGCAAACTATGCCCCTACTCACAGCTCATACATATATAGTAGTCCGATAGCTATAGTGGTCCGATGTCAATAAGATTTTGTATATATATCACACGACTATAGGGAGCCTTGTGAAACTTATAGACGGGCCTATGCAGTGTTACAAGACAGACGGACAGACGGACTCGGATGCTGATCAAGAATATATATACTTAATGGGGCTGGAGATATCTCCTTCTATGCGCGACACATTTCATGAATGTTCATATGGTGCATTCTATATGTATATATTATTTGCCGATTTAGCCTCATTCCAGACAGGTGTGTTTTTCTATACCTTAAACAAATGGAAAATGGTTACAATGCTTTTTTAGATATGTATCTAATAGGGATATGGATCTTCTCTGACCCCATAAAGTAAGCTTGATCAGGACGACCCGTGGAGTCGACCTTGCCTTGGCTGAATAAGAGCGTCGATATTGGACACTATAAAATTTAGAGACTTGACCGTACGCATAATAATAAACCTCCCCACAAATTATATAGCGAGCCCTTTCCAGCGAAGACAATTCAAAGACAATTGAGTTTCTTTTTAAAATAATAAATTAATGGTTTATTCTATAATTTGTTGCTAACTTAGGAATAGTTTAACAATTAGCTCTCTTAACTAGTGAGTGTTTGGCATAAAATTAATGGCTATATCTCAACCAAAAATCTTAATCAGTCCGAGGAACATAAAGTTAAAACTAAATACTAGAAGTATGGGGGAATGCATTTAGTCGACTTCCTCCACGGTGGGTCCTTGGTAGCCACCGGCACCACCGAAGCCGCCCGCCTGCTGGCCACAGTTGGCGTTGCCCTGCGGCTGTCCCTGCTGGTGCAGCTTGGTCATAATGGGGGAGCAGTGCTGAGTGAGCTCCTTCAGTTTGTACTCGAACTCCTCCTTGTCGGCTGTGGTGTTGGCGTCGAGCCACTTGACGGTCTCGCTGCACTTCTCCAGCACGGAGGACTTGTCGCTGTCGCTCAGCTTGTCGGGACTGGCCTGCTCCACGGCCTGCTTGACGCCGAAGACGTAGCTCTCGAGGCTGTTGCGAGCCGTGATGCGCTCCCGGTGCTTCTCATCCTCGTCCGCGTAGCGCTCGGCCTCGTTCACCATGCGGTCGATCTCTGCCTGCGACAGGCGGCCCTTGTCGTTCTTGATGGTAATGTTCTTGGCCTTGCCGGTGCTCATCTCCTTGGCCGTCACGTTCAGGATACCATTGGCGTCCATGTCGAAGGTGACCTCGATCTGGGGCACGCCACGCGGTGCCGGCGGTATGCCAGACAAATCGAACGTGCCC